CTTGAGAGATAAAGAAAGAGAAAGAGATACAGGCACGCCCCATCATTACCCTCGCACATACACCCTTCACTAGCAAGTCTTCCAAACAGCCTGTATCACACATATGTGTAAGCGCATGTGTGCACCCCTGTATGCTTCAGGTCAACCCAGGATCCAAATCATGACCTTCTGCGTGGCTCCAGCATGTAGAACAGGCCCTACTTCTTCTGCCCGAGAGACAGAGACTCAAAAAATGCTAAATATGCAACTCTTGCTTCAACAGGAATCTTACCTGGAAACCAAAATAAAAACAAGAGAAGTGGCCCCATACCCTAGTGGTTAAGGGAGCTGGATCTCACACAGCTGACAGTGGTTCAAGCCCCAGCGTCTTGAATAATACATTGGGTACCCATGTATGCATACCCCAAATCGCCGCAGGATAGAGAAATGGAGGAGAGGGGATTATCGCGTGATCACACCCTGTTGAGAGGAGATTTCTACCTCCCCTTTATTTCTGTCTCTCCGAATAAAAAATAAATATTTTTTTTAAATGTAGAGTTGCTCTAGGTGCAAAGGTTTAAGGCCTGTGGACTCTGCCCTCCTCACCCCATGGAATCTCCTAGACAGGCAGGGAGAAGAGATTGCCATTCCAAACACAAGTGTGTCTTAAAACAGGGTGGGGTCTGTGGAAAAAGCCTTCTGGGCTGTGCAGATCTTTATATGTGAGAATTAGATAGGCCTTGAGGTTAAACCACATTTGAGAATAAGGGCGGTAAAGATGAGTCATCCTGCTAACAGTGTAAGGATAGGGGTCAACTAGGTTGAGAAGGCAGAGAAGAAAGGAGAAACCAACAGGTTGGTTCTGAGTGATCAGCACAGCCAGTAAACGAAGTCTCCCTACGCTGCTTCATTACCATAATGCAATGTTAGCCCCATAGGCACAGCCTTCCTTTTCAGGAGTTCATTACTTCCTCTAAAGGCCTAGTGAGGCAAAATGCTTGGGAGGGTCACAAAAAGTGTGACCTGTGTGTTTAGTCCAGCTGGATGTGGCCTGAAAAGAAATGGCATGTGTAGGACTAAGAAATGATCAATAAACTGAATTAAGCAACTCTCACGAGGATTCAAGGAGTTGGTGAAGTGCTTTGAAACAGCACCCTGCCCACAGTGAGGCTCACTTGTCCTTGTGGAAATAAATAAATAAATTCATTCTGTAACACACTCTAAACCAAGTCCAACGAACCCAGCCAAGCAGAAGAAATGAAAGTCACTGGAGACAATGAAAGACAATGGATACCAATAGGGTCCTCCCCAAATTGCAAGGCCAAATTCATTGATTATGCTGAGTAGAGAGACCCAAGTCTGTAACGTCTAATTCATGGTAAATATAAGGATTTTTTTTTTAAATCTTTTATTCTAAGGACCCAGTACAAATGCTTGGAACATTGTAGAAATCCAGTAAATAATTGATGAATAAGTGAGTGGATAAATGTTATACTTTTAACACAAATACAATTAAAAATTTGCTGAACTTTAAAAGAATATAGTATTATTCCAATCACAACATCTCCATGATGATTTTTTTAACCATCATGTCTGTTTATAGCACTGAAGGCAGTCAGTCTTAGAAGTGCCAGCTGGCAAACCCTGCCCTAAACTTACCCTTAACCCTGCGCGATCCACTGGCAAATGTTTGTAATTCATAAATCAGGAAGTGGATATTTTCATGCAAATGTCTCAACACTGGTAGACAAAGAATTCGGGTAGAAATATTTTACATACAGTGGACCATAAGCAGTATTTCTGAATACAAAAGACAGTAGATAGACCCTGTGCTTCTAACTTTAAAATATATCCATAATCCAGCCCCTTCACTATTTCCACATTACCAGGGTCTTGGCATAGTCTCCTAGCTAGACTTCCACTTTCACCCTTTTTCCATAGTGTTCTCTCAACACAGCAGCCAGAGTAGTTTGCAGGTAGCATGATGGGTGGGGAGCTGGACTCCCACATGGTCAACTATGGTTCAAGTCCCAGACCTAGCGGCTTGCTTTCTCACTTTCCCTCTCTCTGTCTCTCTCTGATGAGCACACATGCCCTATAGCAAATTAAATAATAATCATAAATAAAAATTAAATAATTATTTTTTTAAAAAAAAGAGAAGATAGTTCAGGACCCTTCTCTGTTCTAAACAGTTACATACCTTGGCATCCAATTGAGAAAATGGAAACCATTTTAGATATTTCAAACAGAAGGAATATATTTTCAGAGAATGGGTCACAGTGAGAAGGAATGTCAGGAAGCCCCCTACCACCATAGGCTGGAGGACCAAAAGGGAAAATGGTGTTACACCAAACACAATCAGCGCTACTGAAGTGGTTACTGGCACCAAGCTGCCCTAGCCAGCACTCCCAGCTGTTGCTTCTGCTGCCGCTGCTACTGCAGATGCCCTCTCGGAAAGGCTGCCAGGAGCCTGATTCATAAAGAAGATTCTGCCTTCCTCCCATTTTGCAGTCTCCGGCCGGTACCTCCCATTGGTGGAACCTGACAGGAAGCCAGCAGGCAAGGCAGCCTGGGAAGTGTAGTTTGCACGTCTCCTGACCCAGTTGTATGGGAGTGTATGTGGGAGTCCGTGGGGTTGACAGAAACAGGCCTTGCCAGAGCAGACCCTCACTCGAAGTCAAAGGCAACTTCTTCCTAAGCCTTCCAGGCAAGAGAGGCCTGACGCTGAAACGTGCTGTTTCCCTTCCTACCTCACTGACTGGGCCCCAGCCTTCCTGGCTTCTCCGCTAGTCAGACACTCTACACTGTCCTTCTGAGGACTCTAGCACTTGCTCTTTTCTTGGCCTGGAATAATCTTATCCCAAGACCGGCACAGCTCACTCCCTTAACTTCTTTAGTCCTTTATTCAAATGACACCAGTTCAAGGAGCCTCCCTGAAAACTAATTTATAATAGCCAGCCTCTTCCAACTCTCCATCCCCTTTGTTGTTTTTTAATCCAAACTTTTAGCCTTTCTAATATCTCTAATAATAAGTTCTATATATAGTTTTAAAATATATACATGTATGTTTTTATTCTGCTATGTATTATGTACATTTTTATACACTACATATTTATAAATGGTTATATTTAGTTGTTTATATTCCTCACCAAAATATAAGCTCTAAAGAAGCAGAGATCATTTTGGAGTGGATCTATCCTCAGTGCTCAATAAAGACTCATTGATAGTCAACAATAATGTTCTGTATACTGAAACATTTGGTAAGGGTGGATCTCATGTTAAGCGCTTCTAACACAGTAATGAATAAATACTTGCAGACTCACTAAAATATGTAATCATTGGTATTTAGTACGTGATGAAAAAATGTCAAGATTCCTAAAAGGATGGGGTGAGGAACAGAAGCCGACATTGCTCACACCTTTCTCTGCACAGTCCCCCTAGCCCCACTAAGGCTAACATGGGTGTCTTCTATTTTTATTTCACTTTTTTTATTATTATTATTTTTGCCAGGGAGAGATAAAGAGAAAGGGAGAGGAAAAAACACCCGCCAATGGGATGTGGTCATGCTACAATCCTTTCTTCTCCATTTCTACATCCTGTTGGGATTTTGGACTCACACCCAGTGTGTTTTTCAAGTCATTGGGTCTGGCATTTGAATTGCACAGTCAGTCACGTGGAACCTACCTCCCTTACCCATCAGGCCATGGGGCCATTCCTAAATGTCCCTTCTATTTGCTCCAAACACCCCTGCTTCTTCCCAGCACTTGTCACACTGTCCTGTCATTTTATCTGTTTACGTGTCTGTCTCCCCCACTAACACTGCAGGTTCTATGAGATACCGAAGGAGTAGAGCCTTTCTGTGTTATTGCTATAAACTAAGCACCTGGTGGTAACATACTGCATGGGAGGTGCGGGAGGCAGGGGGCTCAAACAATATTTGTGGTGGAATGTCATTGTTAAAAGTCTCTCAACATCACTTCTTCCTCTGGTATCCTGGAAAGGCAAAAGAGTCAATAAATGTAAGAAAACATTAACAGAAGAAGGAGGTAGTTAAGCACAGAATGAAAAAAAAAAAATCTCTGACAAACAATAGTAAGTCATAGGTAATAAAGAACAAGCAAAATGATCAAGGATTTAAAAAATAGTTTAATTTTTTTATTAGACGTATTTGTATTGCCTAAGAAGCAACCCATTGCTGAATTATTTTAATAACTAAATATCACAGAATAACAAACAAATTTTGAAAACTTAAGTTATGAAATAAAAATTATTATCATAGAAAAACAATGGGTCTCAACAGATAACAGATTTTATAGGGTCATTCTTAAAGGTTAGGGTGAAGGGATATTAGAGCTATAAAAGTTTTGTTTGCTTTTAACAAATGTATTGTGGTAATTTTATAGCCAACTTTAATAGGAAAGAAGCATCCTTAGTAATATGTATTCATGGACAGTAGAAACAATATCATTAAAAATCAGTCTCGGGAGATCAGCAGTTAGTGTAATGGCTATGTCACTGAACTCCCATGTAGTCGACCGTGGTTTGAGTCCCAGACCTGGTGGCTTAAACTCACGCTGGGTGCGTGTGCGTGCATGCCCAAGATCCCGAGAGGAGAATGGAGGAGAAGGGATTGCAGCGTGGCCATCCCTCCTGGGGGGGTGATTTCTCGCTTTCTGTCTCTCTCTCTCTCTCTCTCTCTGTCTTTCTGGCGAGCGCACGTGCCCTATAGCAAAAAAACTCTCAAAAAAAAAAAAAATCAGTCTTAGTTAGTTTTTCTTTCAGGGGTTTCCAGTAGATGTCTATGAAATATCTGCAGTCTCTTACAAAGAGATCATGGCTAGATCTTAGACTTGAGATAGATTTATTTATTGGGTAATCATCCGGGGACTGGAAGACGTCCTATCACACACACAAATTAAGCACCAAATTGATCATAAGTAGATTTTACTTGGCTTATAACCTCGGTAGTTAGAGGTATACAGAGATGTCTAATCTCATCTTGACCTTAGAAGTTGCAGTGCCCACTGGCTGCCCACCTAAATATTGCCCATCATGTCACACAGGAGGGACTCAAGGCTTTGAAAGAAAAGGCCTCCTTGAGTTGCCTAATCTGGAGTGAATGTCCTATTTTGTTTGTGGTGATCTGCTAACATTTTTCAGCGATGGCTGTTCCTTTCCTCTTCTGTTTAATTTAGAAATCCAATTTGACCAATAACAATTTGAAGTGCATATAAGCAACCAGAATTCAGCTCATCAGAAACCTGTTTTGTATTCCTTTCTCACCACGTAATTTTGCAAAAGAGCTTCTAACCAGAAAATGACTTCAACCTGTTGCCTGAAGTATACATGTATATGTGCAAGGAGAAAACTGAGCTAAGTCAAATGAGGTACACACACATGTTGTGGGAGGGTAATGTTAGAACCAGTTTCAAAGCAGACTCTAATTCAGAAGTGCCCCTGCCACCTAGACTCACATGCAGATGTTTCTAGCCTCATGACATGTCATTGAATTATTGAATTTTGCCAGTGGTGGAAGTGATTGCAGCTACTGTGGCTTCCTTGCTGGGAGAGGCAGTAGGAGGACGAGGGGTCCGTTTATTAGAAATAACTTTACCGAGGGTGTGACAAAAGCAGATATGAAAAAGCCACAGGTTACTGATTGCAAATCTGGCAAGGCTGCAGGCCATTCTCATTGCAGGCAGGGCACCTCAGGGCCCGATAGGACTCCTTAAATCTGTTGGCCAGCATCGAGAACTTGCTGCCGTGGCACAGAGAGCAGGTGGCACTGCCAGACCCCCGACAGTGAAAGCAGTTGTCCTCGGGAAGCTCCCCTTCCTGAAAGAGACAGGTCAGGGTTTCATTAGTGCAGAGTTCAAGTGCACTGGTTAAAAATACAAAGCCTGGGGCAGAAGTAGAGGAAAATACTTCCCACAAATGCCGATGAGGGGAATGACCCAGACATGGAATAATCACAACATCTTTATCAGAGGGGACTTTGCTAATGGACATCTCTAAGACAACCTCAGCTGCCACTGCACCACGCATTCTGAGCATTTATGTTCTTCATCGCCCTTGTTGCCATCTCAGTTATTTCTGTACACTCCATGAAGGCAAGTTCTTTGTTTTCCTCACTGCCAATACTAATAGTGAACCCTTGCAACGAACGGGGTTTTGTTGGTTGGCGATGGGCACTTATTCCAAGAGCTTTCCACAGTCCATCCATCTAATCCTCATAACATCCTAGCAGTTTAGTTAAAATGTTATTATCCTTATGTTACAGATGGGAAAATGAGATACTGAGAAGTTATTCTCCTCTGATCATGCATGTAGCTTGGAAAAGGAAGAGGCAGGTTTTGATCCCAAGGAGATGAGCACCAAAATTGATGCTCCTTATGACTACATTCTGTAGCCTCTCATTGTGGTTGTCTAATAGCAGGTGCTTATGAATGTTTCGTGTAACTGAAAGCTTGTGTGGACGAATGAATCAATGTCAGAATTCTTTAAGGCTTAGCTCTGGATTCTTGCAGGGCTTTATCTTTATTCTCTCTGAGAACTGTTTAAGGCCTACCTCCATGTGGACCATCCAGTGGCCTGGTGGTTACACAAACTGAATCCCACATAACTGACCGCACAAGCCAAGTCTTGGACCCAGTGACTTGAGAAACACTGGGCAGACGACCAGCAGTTAGCGTAATGGCTATGTCGCTGGACTCCCATGTAGTCGACCGCAGTTCGCGTCCCAGACCCGGTGGCTTAAAACTCACGCCAGGCGCGTGTGCGCACGTGCCCAAGATCCCGGGAGGAGAATGGAGGAGAAGGAATTGCGGCGTGGCCATCCCCCCTGGAGGGTGATTTCTCGCTTTCTATCTCTCTGTCTCTGTCTGGCGAGTGCACGCGCCCTATAGCAAAAACTTCTCAAAAAAAAAAAAAAAGAAAGAAAGAAAGAAACACTGGGAAGGTGGTATGCAAGTCCAAAATCTTGAAAGGAAGGAGAAATGAAAAAGAAGAGATTGTAGCTTGACCATTCCCAGTCGAGAGTACTTTTTCACCTTTACTCTCTCTCTCTCCCTCTCTCCCCCCCTTCTCTCTCCCCTCCTCCCTCCCTCCATCTCCAGTGAGTGCACATACACTCTGGCAAACTAAAATCAAACAAACAAAAAATAAAACAAAACAAAACAAAAAAAAACAAAAACAAAAACAAAACCTTTATGCTCTGGATTCAATAGACTAGGCCTGAGCCTACTGTCCAACATCAGCTATGCAATTTGGATGGTTTCCAATCTCTTTACCTGTGAAATGGGGATGGTAATGCATACCCTCCTCTCAAGTAGCAAAATATCTAATGAGAATATATGTAAATGCTGCATTATCTGGCACAGCACGAATTTCCCCAAAATTGGTTCATTTCTAGGACTTGCCAATGAGTCTCCAGTTTTTGCCTCCCACTCTCCACAAAATGCCCCATAGTCTTTCTCCAAGACACCTCAAGGAAATTGACAGTCTTGATACTCCTTAAGACTGTGAGTCTTCTAAGAAATAAAGGATCATACCAGATCACTAGCAGGTGAATTTAGTAACAGGGCCTGTCTATTTCACCTTCTAACTATCTTCTCTAACCCATCCAGTTTTTTCCATCCACACCACAATCCCAGCTCAGATACCTGGCATCTCTGGTATGAGTTCAATGTGGACTTCTGTCTCTGGGCTTGTGAGATGTTCTCTCCATTGGTTTCAGTCTCATTTAGTTGTCTACCTTGGAAATCGCCACATTAGGAAGCACTCAAGAAAAATTTAAAGAATATTTGCCCTCCAGATTAAACCTCAGGATTAAATGTAATCTCAACCATTTTAATCTTTTGTCACTCGTTCATCAGGCTCTTGTCCTTGGAGATTTCTGCACTTGGTTTCCAGGGACCTTTCCAGCAGGCCCCTCCTTGTTCTCCTAGATCTTCCTCCAGGAAGCCTTGTCCACTCACACCTCTGGACCAGGTGCCTCACCCACTGCCCTTGGTACTGCCCCCAGCATGACAGTTTCACTCTACTGAAAGCTGACTAAGAAGCTCTCTGTGCTAGTCCGTTTTCATTATTGCTTCCTGGACATATTGTGCAGTGCTTAGCATGGTATTTGTTATTCACATATTAGCCAAGTAAGTAAAACAAAGTCCTTAAATTCTAAAAACTAACAAGACAGCTCAAGTCTATGGAGTAGCCCTACCCAGCTAACACACAAGTTTTTCAGATTTTTAACTATAACCTAAGGATAAAACCAAGCTCTGAAAAGGGAGGCATAAGTTATGAAAATAGTTTCATTGTGCTAAAAGTTTCTAAGAAGACATTAAATTTTATTTATTCTAGATTTAAAGAACGGAAGTGATTACCCAACTGACAAAAATGTAAATTATGTCTACACATCCTTTTGTTAACATTGTTTTGATCATTGCAATATTTTAATACATTCATAATGGAGAATTTTTTCCCTTAAAGCATTCAAAAATAACTTTATTTGCCAAAATAATATTTTTTTAAGAGAGGTTTCTGCTATAGGGTACATGCGCTCACCAGAAAGACAGAGAGAAACAGAGAGACAGAAAGTGAGAAATCACCCCCCAGGGGGGATGGCCATGCCGCAAACCCTTCTTCTCCATTCTCCTTTTAGGATCTTGGGCACACACACACACACACACACACACACACCTGGCGTGAGTTTAAGCCACCAGGTCCGGGACTCAAACTGCAGTCGGCTACATGGGAGTCTAGTGACATAGCCATTATGCCAACTGCTGGTCCCCAAAATAATCTTTTTTTATCTTTGCCAAAATATTTTTAAAACAAGTTGCCATGATCTATTTTTCAGCCAAGTCCATTGTGTTTTATATTTTATACTTGATTCCAGTGAAATTTTATGATTTAAGCCAACATTGCCAAATAAAGAATAATAAACTACTATAACTCTATACATGTTATTGAAAAATGTATTTACATAAAATGCCAGGTCACATATAAAAAGATTAATAAAAATCACTCAGTGAATTTGCTACTGAGAACAAGAACAAATCTTCAATAAAATTATATCTGTCATATGATTGTAGGGTACATTAGTAGGGGTTTCGCTGCACTTCCCATTCTTATCCTGGGTTATCACTCCCTCCAACAACTTAGCCTCAACATGTTCTTAATCATTTCATTAATCAACAAATGTTTAATAAGCCTTATTCTATGTATGAAGCAGATATGGTATAAGCCTCTTTATTTCCTTCTCAGTACTTTTAAAAAATCCTTCTCAGAAAATATTTAGTGGACAGATATAGAACATGGTTGTACAGCCTAGTTTAGGCTCCAGAACCAGACAGACTTAACCAATCCACTTTTTACTAAGTCCATGACCAGGCAGAGAGCCTTAGCTTCACTGCACACTCAAAGGCTTAAGCCCTGAAGATGGTCACCAGGCAGTTATGATCATAAAACTGGTAGATAGATGGATGTGTGTGTGTGTGTGTGTGTGTGTGTGTGTGTGTGTGTATTTTGCCAGAGTGTACATGAGCTTGCCAAAAAGAACAGACAGAGAGAGAGAAAATGAGAAAGCTCTCACTTTGTGGGACGGTCATATGACAATCCCTTCTCTTTCATTCTCTTCTGAGGATTTAGGGCATGCAACATATGCCCCCTGCATGTTTCTCAAGTTACTGGGTCTGGGACTCAAATGGCACGGTCATCCATGTGGGATCCAGCCAACTTATCCACCATGCCATTGACTGGCCCAATGGACCTGTATTTGACTACTGGCTCTCATAACCTCTGGTAAGTTGCTTATCCTCTCTGAGCCTCAGTTTCCCTGTCAAATGAGACTATCAGCAATACCTAACTTTATGGAGGGACCCTTGGGCAGAAAGCACTGTACGGTATGGTTCTTGGCTATCATAAGTTCTCAATAAATGGTAGCTATTACGACAAGGAGGACAATGATGATGATTACTATTATCTCAAAGATGCAATCACATAAAGCATAAAGAAGTCCAGATGATTAATGACCTCAAATCCACTGAGCATGAAGCCAGATTTTCCTCCTTCCACATTTTATTGTGGCTGAGTTCAATTATTCTTCCCTTTTTTGTTCTTAGTTACTATAGAGGTTCAAGCAAGACCTAGTTTCCAGCCTTGCCTTGTATTTTCATCAAGTTCTCACCATCTCCCTGTCTGCACAACACAACAAAGAGTCTCTAGGTCAGAGGGGCTGTCTGATGTTCTTTGACCTTCTGTTTAGAAAAACTCTTGTCCATGCATTTATTGCATGAAGGATGGGAAAAACAAATAGCAATTTAAAACAGAGTTTAAAGGACAGACAAGTGAAATGGCAACCTTCTGCTATATACCTCTATCCTAGTTTACAGGATTACAACTAAAAAACATCTCTCCAAATTGAATTTAATGGCAATTGTCATATTGGGCCTGCTATTGCTTTTTCATTCAGGTCAGCAGTGTGACCTCACTTTACCATTTCTGTCCCTCTATTGAAAATATATGCTCCCACAAGTTACAATAAGGTATGAAAAATAAAATAGAGAATTTTCAAGTGGGAAGGTAACGCTTCACATCACAACGTGTAGTTATATGGCTGCCACCATACTTGGTTCTTAACAGTACTGCACGGATAACAAGAGACGGCAAAGGCATTTTGGTCCCAAATTCCAATATTCTTCCCACAGATTTTTAACTAATATTAACCGAGCACCTATGATATGTCCATTTCTGTATTTTTGACATAGAACTGTGATGTTGCACCAACATTGCCTTCATGGAGACCAAATCCTAGTGAGAGTAGACACTAACCAAATAATCACACGGACAAAAGTAAGATCACAGCTGAGAAGAGAGTGTAAGGTGTCCTGATGAGTTCGTACTAGAGGATTTTATCCTCGTGGAAGCCAGGGAAGATTCAGAGGAAGCCTCCACTGAGGTCACGGAGACTAAGATAAATGTGGTAGGGAATCTGGGAACACTCTAGACAGACAGAATTTGCCTTCGATAGGAAAGAGTATGTGAGGGATGGATAGATGTGCCATGTATTTGGGGCAAAGTGAATGATGACAGATGTGTAAGAAATGAGATGAGGCTGGAGAGCTCAGCATGACCAGCCAGGCTAAACAGAGCATTCTAGGACAAGTAAGAAGATTTGGGCTTATCCCAAGTAATAAGAGGACATTGGAAGCTTTGAAGGATAGGAAGGTGATGACAAAGGAGATGATCTGATTAGATTTGTATTTCAAAAATATCTCACAGAGCATGAAACCAGGTTGGAAAGAGACATGAGTGGACATGAGCAGAACTTTTCTGGACAAGAGCCTTTGCTGGAGTTCAGGTTATTCGTGCTCTCATGTAGGAGAGGCAGAGATAAATGGGAAGAGAGGGAGGCAAGTGGACTCTAGAAAAGTCATAGATAAATTTGTGAGTTAAGAGAGCCGAGCTAACTGGGAGTCTTTGGCATCTCTAGCCTGAGGTCATCACTCAAGTCCAAGCATGATCTTATTCTCATCACCTAAACCCTCACAGAGTGGGGACATGGCAAGTTTTGGGAAGTCATTGGCCCATTTTTCCATGCCAACTCATGGAAGGTCAGAGTGAGTCCCATGGAAAGCTTCCGACCTCAAGAGACAGAATCTAAGAGAGAAGAATTCATTTCTCTGCTAACCAAGTTTTTATTCTCGGGTTTAAATTCATTGAATTTGTTCCCTCCACCTCAACCCAACCTGTGAATTAATGAATATCAGCACTCTTCCCCCTTGTCTGAGCATGTCAGGTGAGGTGAGCACACCTCTAAGGGATGTGTGGGGAAGACATTGAAACTGTTTACATTTATGTGTTATCTAAAAATATACTAATTTTTAACAAAGTGGTTGATACTGGCACTCTCACTAGATCAAGTGGTCACATAAAGTATAAACGCAAGGGATCCTGGAGTAAATATGAGTTCAATAACATCCAGCTCACGTGTTTCCTTTCAGTATATTGCACTACGTTACTTGTGCCTAGTCCAGTGGATGTACGAATAATATCGCTTAGTTTTAACTAAACCAATCTGTAGAATTAGGATATAATGGGTTTTTTTCTACCTTTAGAACTAGCAGTTCATGCACAATGAAATTGATACATACCTAATCAGATCTGAAAAGAAGTCAACCTCAAACATTTAAACTTACGAGCATTTGAAATATGGATTTAGCAAATACTGTTGCTAACCACATACCATTAAAACCTAACAAACATTAAAATTCCTTCACATTCTTGAACATTTAGACATCTTAAGTATTCCTAAACAGTCAAAAGAATTTGGAAATGACTGCCAGCCCCTAGTAGGGAAGTCAAGCTCTCTGACGCACCTGCGTATACTGATTTGGGGGAAATGTGCTTTCTGTCTCCAGTAGAGGTCCATCATTCTGTCCACCACAGTTTTCTTCTTTGTTCATCAGAGACTCTTCCTCAACCTCCTCCTCCTTCTGCAGAATTTTTCTCATGAAGTCTCTCTTGTCCATTGGGGTTCGAATGATTTTCAAGTTATTTGTGTAGATGATTATCTTTCCAAAATCTATAATAGGTGGGGGCTAGAGAAATGGAGAATGAGCATGAAAATTTCACCAAATACAGGGCTACAGAGTCTGTCCAACATCTTAGGAAATAGGAGAGACGGACCTTCTAGTCTGCTCTTAGGATCCCATTAGACATCAAAGTTACAGTTTGTTCCATGGTTTGTTCGTTTCTCTGAAAGCCATGAAAACCAGCTTCCTTCTTCCAGTTGATGATAACCAATGAAAGCTGTACCCACCCAGAGTGTAAGACTCTGAAGGGCAGGGCCTAGAACTTCTACTCCTATTGTATACCATAGCTTCCGATGCAGGGCTGGGTGCAAGGAATGCTTAATAAATGTAAAAGAATATTTTGTACATAAATGTCTCTCCAAAATTCCTCTGTGTATAAATATGCCATTTATTGAGCACTATTTCTATGCCAGGCATCATGCTAAGCATTTTACCAGCATTATCTTACTTCCCTCCCTCCCTCCCTGCCCCCCAGACATCCCTGTGAGGTAGATACTATGACTTCCACATTTTATAGGTGACACAAAGGTCAACTATATATGTATATATATAGTTGGCATCCACATCTGTAGAGTCAACCAACCTGGATCATAAATGTTACATTATTGCTAACAGGTACCACGGAGTTAGCCCTATGGTGGCTGCATCTGTAGTGTATATTGAACATGCAGAAACTCTGGTTATTATTCCCTAAACTATATAGCAGAACAACTATTTGCATAGCATTTACATTGTATTGGGTATCATAACTCATCTAGAGATGAATTAAAGTACAGGAGGGTGTGCATAGGTTATATGCAAATACTATGCCATTCAATGGAAGGTTCTTACGCATCTGCAGATTTTGGTATTTAAGGGGTCTTAGAACCAATCCCCCTCGGATATTAAGAGATGACCATACTCTGATGTAACCTATTCTTCTCATTATCCATATAATATGAATATATGTCCATAAATATACTTCTAATCTGTTGGTATCAGTAGCTTACGTTTCCTCGTATGGATTTATCTTGTGTTTTTAGTCATTTGCTCAGGGATAAATTTAGGTAATACTTTGAGGTGATAGAGAAGTCTGGCTTTAGGGATGACCAAGAATACATATCACTACCCAGATTTGGGATTTTCTCAGAGAGAAACAACAGTGGATCCCAATTCTTCTATCCAATCAATGAAAGATGCAGGAGAGTTACATAGCCACTCAGACATTAGTTTGCTCATGGCCTTCTGGCTGGTAATCACTGCCACAGACAAACTAATTATTAAAATATAAGAATATTTCTATCTATTGAGTGGTAAACAGATGCTGTCCTGAGACTCCTGAGTGCCCTCCAGCTATGCCAGTCTCCCTTCTTAATGTCCTAGTTAATGCTTAGGATTCCAAGTCCAAGGACCTTGTTCCCACACTCTCCTGGCTTTCAGGTTAATTGGGACATTTCTCTGGGTTAGATGTTGACTTTTACCACTCAGGCTACTTATATCAACCTTTGGGAGTGAGAGGTGCTATGAAAAACAGGGTTTGCAAAAGTTAGAGATACTTGGGACCAGCAGATGGCGTAATGGTTATATTGCTGGACACCCACATAGTCAACGACAGTTCAAGTCCTGGGCCCAGCAGCTTAAAACTCACACTGGGCACGTGTGCATATGTGCCCAAAATCCCAAGAGCAGAATGTATTGCAGCGTAGCCATTTTCCCAAGGGGTGATTTCTCATTTTCTGTTTCTCTGTCTCTGTCTCTCTGGTGAGCACATGTGCCCTATAGCAAAAACCTCTCTTAAAAAATAAATAAAATAATTATTTATTAAGCTGCAAGCTCCCTATCTAGCTCATTTTCTCTCCCTCTCTTCAAGAGATCATGTAGCAGCTTCCATTTCCTATTATTTTATGCACACCGGATTCCTGTTTCACACTCTGGACTATCAGTTTCTGAATATCAGAAGATAAGAATGGTGGTACTTTTGGAAGGTTCCATTTCTACTTCCAGTAATAGCCAAAGAGCTTCAGTTACTAGGAAACTTTTTCACAACTAGAGATATTTTTCAAGGCAAAACTCTCGCTATATAAGGAGAATCTGAGATCATCTGCCCTAACCTCTTGCCTCTAAGCTGCCCTAACCTCTTGTCTCTAAGCCGCCCAATGTCTGTAAGCCACCCAGGAAAGTAAATTTATGTTCTAAGGTACTCCAAAGATGGAGGGTCCCAAATCATTTTTAAGGTGTGTTTGAGTTCTAGTCATCTTGACAGTCAAATTCTTCCTTGTGTCTAAGGTAACTCTCTGGGTGTAACTAACGTTCACATTATCTGGTTACATCAAGTTGCCCTTGAGGGACACCCACTCTTGAATTATAGAGACTCAGGATGGAGCCAGCGATTTTTCATTTCCTTCCACAGTCCCCGGAACAACAACGTATGTGATTGAGCATTTAGAAGCACTTTGGAGTCTGTGGCAACATGCCTGAAGACTGTTATTCAGGCACTGTTAAACCTTTCCACTGTTGTTTTGGGATTTTTGTTTGTTTGATTTCGATTTTGCCAGAGGGTGCATGATCCTTCGAGAGAGAGAGAAAGAGGGAAGTGAAGTGAGAGAGCACCCCCCCCCCCGTGGGACACAGTCATGCCACAGTCTCTTCTCCTCATCTCTGCCTTTTCAGGATTTGGGGCATGCATACACAGATACCCAGTGTGTTCAAGCCACCTGGTCCAGGACATGAACTGTGCAGTTGGGATGTAGGATCCAGCTGCCTTAACCACCACACACAGGCTGGCCCACCACTGCCATTTTAAAGGCTGAAATGCCCTTATTGGGTATTGCATGGGCTTTGGGGACACACAGCCCTGAATTCCAATTTTATTCCAATTTTACTCAAATATTATTTGTCAACTAGGTGAGATGTAGTTATTTAACCCTTAAGAAGCTCTATTTTTTACAATTTATGAAACTTTCTCATAGAAACACAGTATTATGAAAACGGAATTACATCATGTGTGCAGAGTGGGTGTTTAGTAAATGTTACCTCCCTCCCTTTCTTTTCCTTTTCATTTTTTATGAAGCTTATAGACATCAGTCAGTTCTAAAATATTTTGATTGTTTCTAACCACTTTCTCTACCCTATACATAAAAGACTGATCATTTCTCTAATGAGAACCTGCTCATTAACACAAAGATAGGCAACAATTGCTGAGCATATACAAATCTGGGCACAAAACTAAGTGCTTCTTTTGTGCTGTTTTATCTTTTTTTAATCACCACCACAACCCTCTGATGATGATAAAGCTCTGCACGTAGCCTGCCCCCACTCACTCAGTGAGCAGAACTGAACATCAAGTCCATGTCTATCTGACATCAGAGCCCTTGCCTTTAAAAATATTATAACTGAGACTAGTAGATGGAGTAAAAGTTACGTTGCTGGATTCGCGCGTAGTCGACGGTGGTTCGAGTCCCGGATCTGAGGCTTAAAACACACCAGGCGTGTGTGTGTGCATGCCCAAAATCCTGATAAGAGAATGGAGGAGAAGAGATTGTGGCATGGCCATTCCTGCCAGGGGGGTGATTTCTTACTTTCTGGCTGTCTCTCTCTGTTTCTCCAGCAAGCACACACACCCCATGGCAAAAATCTTTCCTAAAATGTTATTACTATTATTATTGTAGTAAAATATGTGTGACATAAAATTTACCCTTTCAATCATTCTAGCTGTAAAGTTCAGCGACAATAAGTACCTTTGTGTTGTTATGCAGCCGTCACCACCATCCTTCTCCAGAACTTTTCCTTTTTCCTCACTGAAACTCTGCATCATTAAACAATAACTCCTCCTTCCTCCTAACCTCCAGCCTTGCCAACCACCATTCTACTTTCTGTCTCTATGAACTTGACTGTTTTGAGTGAAATTATATAGTATTCATCTTTTTGTGACGGTTTATTTTACTTAGCGTAGTGCCTCCATGATTCATCCATGTTTTAGCGTATGTCAAAATGTCCTTTGTTTAAAAAATGGAGTAGTATTCTGTTGTATATATAGCTCACGTTTAGTCTATTTATCAGTCGATGGACACTTGGGTGGTTTTCACCTTTAGGCTATTGTAGAAAATGTTCCTGTGAACATTGATGTACAAATATCTGTTCCAGGTCAAAGCCCTTGCTTTGAATCATTGCACTTAACTGTTACTCAGTGTGGTCTCATAGCCAGTATTTACTAGAGATTAGTTTACAATTAGATTTGCTATTGAGAAATCATTAAGTGCCAGCTCTCATTTCCTTGTTTTAAGAAATAACACTTTGACATTCAGTTCAGTGGGTGGAGCTGCCTGAATCCATCCTGGCCACTCTCTCTTACCCAAAGGCTGGATAACATTGGGATGTGACACTTGATCAGACAACAATAACAAAAAAATAAGGGTGACAGGACCAAGCAGGAAGAAGATCTCCAACATAACCTCTAAAGTACTATTTAACCAACTGGGCCATGTTGTCATGAAGACTTAATTATCTGGCTTCATAAATTTATGTCAAATCATGCATTTATAAAAATGTCAGATTGACCCATGGCTTACAAAGGTCAAGCAGCTTGAAATTATCTACCATGGCCTTGTACAGGTTTGTATGAAATAAGACTTTGTAAATTCTAGGCTAACAAATAAGATATAACAACAACAAAAAAATACTGTCACTACAAGACATGGCCAAGTACTTTGGACATAATAAGTGCTCAATAAATGGTAGCTATTATTATCATCATTATAATGTAATGATCTTGTTTTCCAAAAAGAAACATGTCATAGGACAAAATGTATAGAGACTCAGGATTCTCACAATATAATCAGAATCAAGACCCGGATTCTTAGGCTGACTCTGCACCTGGCAACGTTATACTGCTGAGTGAGTCTCTTTTTTTTTTGGAGAGATTTTCACTGTAGGGCGCGTGCGCTCGCCAGACAGACAGAGACAGACATAGAGACAGAAAGCGAGAAATCACCCCCCAGGGGGGATGGTCACGCCGCAATCCCTTCTCTTCCATTCTCCTCTCGGGATCTTGGGCACGCACGCACACGCGCCCGGCGTCAGTTTTAAGCCACCGGGTCCGGGACACAAACCGCGGTCGACTACGTGGGAGTCCAGCGACATAGCCATTACGCTAACTGCTGGTTCCCCTGAGTGAGTCTCTTAACAATTTGGCGCTCAGTTGTCCTCATCCACAAAATGGGAATGACCAGATTTTGCCTTTCTCTTTCGGATTATGGTGAAGACCTAATGTGACAGATAGAGAGGATGTGATGACACTGTGTAATACATAAGCCATTCTACTAATAAAAGGGGTTGTTCATCCCAGCCCCCTTTAGTTTGAGAAAGAAACCTGGTATTCGTTTGGAAATTGCAGACATGCCCCTAATTATACTTTTACCAATGCCAGCAAGGCCAATACACTTGTCTGCAATCTACTCCCTTAGGAAACTAACAATAACAATCATTAGAGAGTAATTATCTGAATTTCACACTTTAAAGATGAGGACTAATCCTGGTGTGCTATTCATTAATAACCTAGATACATTATATAATTGTGCTTAATCTTTCAAAATAAAAAAGGCATTCATGGTCCCACCGGTAGAGAGTATAAACACATTTCCTATGAATTATGGAAACATTTTCAGGACTTTTTTAACATAAACAAAAATCATGGGGGCCAGCAAGGTGATGTGGTAATTAAGGGAATGGGCGCCCACATGGCTGATCACGGTTCAAGTTCCAGACCTGGTGACTTGCTTTCTCTCTCTGTCTCTCTCTGGTAAGCTCTCATGCTCGATAGCAAATTAAAATAATAATAATAAATCAAATAAATAATTCTTTTTTGAAAAAAGAAAATCACATATGGGTTTTTGGTTATCCATGGTACTGGAGAAGATAATTGAATTACACAGATAAAATGCATGTTTCCATTAAACTATGAGCTCAAACTTCTTCCCCATGTAACATCTCTGGTTGATTTGCTTTTCACCATCTCTCCCCAGGACTCCAACTACTCAGAGTTCATGCTAATGAGCAACAAAAAGGCAAAATAAATAAATAAATGGACAAGCACGTTAAAAAGCAGGCAGTAGGAAGGCAAGAGGGGGGATAAATGAGACATGGCTAAACCGCATGCTGAATAATTGGCTGGAATAAAATGAACACCTTTAAACACTCAGCTCTTTCAGGAAACAAAATAACCCACTGCTGCATAATTCCCTAAAACAGCAGTCTGGCAACCTGAAAACCATGCACCTCTATTTAATTTGCATACTGGGAAACCTAGCCAAAGACCCAATTACAATATATTACCCTGGATGGAAGTCGAATACTATATATACGCTCATTGCACTTTCCAATGAGCAGTCAACAAGCATGTTATTTTTGTCCCAGAAATATTATTCTAATAACAGCTTCCCATTTAGTGCACCTGTAGTTCTGGTTGGTACCCGAGCGTGAGCAAGATGCAAATCTGAAGCATTTATGTGTTCCTATAAACACATTTGAGGAAGCCTTACCCTTAAGGCTTATATGCCACGCATAATACCAACCTTATGGTCATTCGTCTTGTAATCGTTGAACAGAGGCTGGCTGCCCGCCAAAGTGTAGGCATTGCCCTCTCTAAACACACTGATCCTCTGCGCAGTCAGCTTAGGGGAGTACAGTTGGGGTTTTGGGGTTTCCCCAGACCCGTAAACACCATCCATTGGTTCAAGGGCCTCTTGGAGAAAACTGTGAGGGTATTCCTCCTTTGGCGACTCTAATTCCTGCCCATCCTCAAAGACCTGCTTCAGCACTCGACCACTGTAGGAGGAGGAGATTTTAAATCGTACTTTCCGGGGCTTGCCATCACTCTTGTGATTCAGCTTCTTCGCAGGGTCCTCCATCAGCGGAAAGTTCAGCCTATGGTTTCCAGGCTTCCGTGGAGCCAGTGAAACTTTGGGCTCAGAGAAAAAGGTATTTTGTTTTCTCTCCTGCATATAATTAATTCAGGTTGGTGCTGGAGTATGCTCAGTTTACAACAACTGACACCAGTATATTAAATATTGATAGACTCTCATTAAAAGGCAGGCAATTGTGGGTTTATGGAGTGGCTGGAACATGAGACGAGATTGGTTTTCCTCCTAATCCCAAGCTCACCCTTAATTTTACCCCAATCTTAGCTTTTCTTAACCTGAGGATGAATACGTTTAGACTGTACAAGCATCACTTCAATAAGGATCAGATATTCCATCAGTTAGCAAGAGTCTTGTTATTGTTTCCGATAATGTCTAAGATCGAGTGAGCGTTTAGTAAGTGTCAGAGTACTGTTACAAACATTATCTTCTTCCTCACGAACCCTATGAAGAAAGTATCATCTCCATTTTATAGATATAAAAGTAAGGCTTGGAGACATTTCTTCCTTTGCTGATCACACCTCACTTTCAGACTAGAAAACTGAACTCAGATCTATCTGACTCTGAAACTTACGATCAATCTGTCATGCTGAAATTTTTCAAATTGTGTCTCGTGGGGTCTCAGACAGAGTGGAGGTCCTTGAGTGCTGTTTAGAATAGGAGAAACCCATGGGTCTTGAGCCTCCTACCTGCATTAACCAGGGCAGCTCCCATGACATGGATTTTGTACTTAAGATTTCATTTGCAAGCACAGCACCGGTGCCCACTCCCTGCTGGACCTAGTAAATGCTCAACACTGAGAGATTACTGTTGGCATGAATTTTGGATAAGCATGACATGCAGGGCCTGATAACAGGCCTACAGTCCAGTTTAAAAAGCGGACCTAACACATGTGAAAGAAAAACATCATGCTTACAAAGCAAATTGTCTACTGCTGAATCCCACAATAGCCATTCTGGAAAGGGTGAGGTCTCTAAGGAGACAAGGATAAAATAGAAGTCTTGTAAAGGAAAGAGCCTCGGGTCTAAAAAGATGGGGTGAATTTGAAGAGCTCGAATGATGGGAGTAAAGCCTTTCTTCCAGTCTTTGTTAATAATATCACCATTTCTTTGGTTTGGATTATGCCTTTTCCCAAATGGTTCAGGTTTTGGAATTTGGATCTCAGTGTAATGGCCTTGGGAGGTGATGAGACCTTCAAGAGGCAAGGCCTAGTGCACGGTGATTGATCTTGCTGTCTTGCAAAATGCACTGAGTTCTAGCTCTCACAAGAAGGGTGAGTTCTAAGGAGAACAGGTTATTACAAAAAAAAAGAGGGACCAACAGTTAGTGTAATGGCTATGTCGCTGGACTCCCATGTAGTCGACCACGGTTCGTGTCAGGGATCCGGTGGCTTAAAACTCATGCTGGGCACGTGTGCGTGCGTGCCCAAGATCCCGAGAGGAGAATGGACGAGAAGGGATTGTGGCGTGGCCATCCCCCCTGGAGGGTGATTTCTCGCTTTCTATCTCTCTGTCTCTCTCTGTCTGTCTGGCGAGCGCACGTGCCCTATAGCAAAAAAAAA